ATACTTCAACTACCCTCTCCTCTGGCTTCTTTCCTTCAGCATACTGATATGCCATTAACAATATAGATCTCTAATATTTGTCCAATTTCCAATTATCCTTACTGCATTCTAGAATCCTCAGTACAGTGGCAAAGCTCCCACTGTAACTTCTGACCCACAGAGAAGAGCAATCATAGAACTCTTCATGGTTGCTGAGGCTCTCCTTACAAATTTACTTTCAAAATCATGGTGAAAGGAGTGTTCTCTAGACTCTCCAAAGGTGGGTGAGCAGGTCTTACATAATAAATTCACTCTACCATTCCATTCTCCCTAAGCCTTTAAATCCTTTTCTCTATAGTACACCAAGGCAGGTCAGGCATTTCAACTTCATTTAGCATGGGTCACCTTTTGGTCCATGTTTTAGTCTAACAACCAACGTGTCAGAGCTCTTTCTAACCCCTCAAGCTATAATAGTGAATCCAGAATCTCTGTTTAGTAGTACTATATCAATAAATTCAGCCTGATCCAACTTTATGTTCCTGCCACAATTATTCCACACTTTTAATGCCCATTCACACACATATTTCCCAGTTTCTATTTTTGTAAATTTTTAAAAAATCTGTTTTTTAAGACTGCAGCACAATTCTTCATGGGTCACATTTTGTAGCTGGCCCTCGGAGGCCTGCTGGATTTGAGTCCAATTATAGGTCTAGAAGCAAGAAAGAGTGGTAGGAGTAGTTTTTGAGGAGAATTAGCAATATCTCTCAAAACAATCACCTCAGGAAAGGCCATTACATTACAGGTTATTCATGATAAGCAGGGTTAACTTCCTTTTTTAAAAAAAAGTTGTTTTTTTTTTAAAAAAACACATTTTATTTATTTATTTTAAAAGAGAGGGCAAGGGAGGAAGAGAAATTTCAATGTGTGGTTGCCTCTCACACAACCTAGGCATGTGCCCTGACTGGAAATCAAACCAGTAACCCTTCAGTTCTCAGGCTGGCACTCAATCCACTGAGCCACACCAGCCAGGGCAGCAGGGTTAACTTCTTCAAAAGGGTGGCAAAAAAGACTGATCAAAATTTAGGGGCTCATTATCCCATTCCAAATTTGAGGATCTCATTCCTTCCCAACCAATGCCCTTATTTTAACAGTAGACACCCTGTTAGATTGGGAGTTCATTTTGCACTGTAATTCAGCAACTCTTCAGGATGAGACTCTGGGGTTAGTTGTCAGCAATCTCAGCTCTGCAGCTACAGCAAAGAAGTGTTTCTTTAGAGTAGACACAGAAACTTTCAGGCCAATTATGAAGAGATTAAGCTGAGAATTTGAAGACTGAGCTCATCCTTTTCTTTCCCCACTTTTTCCAGCACAGTTAGGAGCAGCCAGTCAGTCTCATTACACTTGTTAATTTGACAAAAAATGTCTTAAGTCACCAAATACATGATTATCTAGAACCCTGTGTTTTGTAAATATTTAATCAGGAGTATCCAATGGTGATATTTTATGTATCTCTATTGCCACCTCACACCCTGGACTGTAAGTGCCCTCTTTACCACTAAAAATAGTCATTAGTGCCTTTAAAACTAATCAGATTCAGGAACCAATTCCACAAACACCATAACCAATTCAGATAGCTCATTCTTAAGATTCTGTTCCTCTAGAACCACTCTCGGTGCTAAAATCTGAATGAGATAGGGTTCTCCAGAGATACAGAACCAATAAAAGAAAATATATACCCATATTATCTACCTATGTCTCTTTAGATAGATCTTTCTATTAGAAATCTATTATTAGATTATTTATTACATAGATAGATACAGATTTATTTTAAGGAACTGGCTCACACATTTGTGGGGCTAGCCACTCTGAAATTTGTAGGGCTGATATAGAGGCTGGAAACATAGGCAGAAATCAATGCTGCAGTCTTGAAGAAGAATGATTTCTTCTTTAAACACTGTGGTTTGAAATTTAGGCCTTCAATTGATTCCATAAGGTCCACCCACATTTTTAAGGGTAATCTCCGTTACTTAAAGTCAATTGATTTTAGATGTTAACCACATCTTCAAAATACCATCACAGTAACACCTAGATTAGTGAATGATTAAATAACCAGGTACTATAGCCTAGTTAACATATAAAATGAATCACTACACATAAGAAACTTAGAAATTTCTCAACCAAGTCTTACTTTCAACTATAGGGAAAAAAAACCCTTTAAACTAGAATATCTTATGTGCTTCATAAAGGCAGTATAATTTTAGTAGGGGCACTTTGTGGGTGGACTAGAGGGATAGTCCTTCCTCCAAGACATTTTCGAAAAACAACTTCTTTCCTACCTCTAAGAACATCATTTGTAGGGAGATATAACATTGTATCTAGGTTTTAAAAACAATGTTTATGTTTCAAAAGTGTGATCTTCAACTCTACACCAGAAATCACACTATAAAATGGCAAATCATTTTGAGAACTAAGACTGAAAAAAGAAGGTTGGTATCTATTGGGTCTGTTGCTTCCCCTTAATCTAACCAGAAAATTTATAAATTGCTACTTCATTTTCTCTCACTGACAAAGTATAATCCAAACCAGGAGAAATCCAAACCAGGTGGCATGAGTGGGTGAATAATGGGCCAAATAATCAAAACAGCACATAAAGAAATCTTGTCTGTTCTTTTTTTTTTAAATCTACTTTTAAAAACCTTTTTTTGCAATTCATTTATTCAATAAACACCGCTATATGCCAAGCACTATTCAAGGCACCTGGGTTAAATCCCTGAACAAAACAATGATCCTCTCTTGGTAGATCTCACATTCTAGCAAGATATCCTTATTCAACTATTTTTCTCTGAGTATAATAACCCAAGCATTAAGAAGTTATCAAACATTTTTTGAAAATCTACTATGTGTCAGATAGTAGAAGGCCAAACTTCTAGTCATGAGTTTGGCTTTCCAGCAGACATTGTTTTATTATTATCACAGAGTTTGGTCTCTGGAGCTAGACCACCTGGGTCCAAATCCTAGTTTCACTAATTCCCAGATGCACAACCTTGGCCAAGTTAAACCTTCATCTGTAGCACAAAAATAATCGTAACAACTATCCCACTAAATTATGTAAGAATTAAATTAGTTCAAATGTGTAAAGCACTTAATCTGGCACAGGGAAGGCACTAAAATATTAGTTACTTTGATTTTAATTCAATTTCCAGAAAAACAGATACTATACATGTAATAATGGGAAAAATAACATGAACAGCAACTTTTAGAACATTTTTATCTGGTCCAGACATTTCTCCCTCCACTATTACTACTTTCAAGAGTTCTATTCTCAACTGAATTTACATGACTTCCAGTTAAGTTTTATAAAAACTACAAAATGTGAGCTCCCTACATCTCACATAAAGCAATTCATGATGGAGTCTGTATAAACACATAGTAAGAGGCTTTTAATTTAATATAAAATTTCCTTAAAAAATCAAAATTAGACTCATTTTCCCTAAAGTTACAACTGCAATTATCTCAAGAAACTTTAGCATCAGAACCAGCAAATAGGACTATGTAATTGCTTATATCTAATGCCTAGATGTGTAAATAGTATGTTCAGTCTCTCAAACCTGTATGTTTGCAGCCAATATACATGAACTGAAGTCAATTCCCAACCTAGCTCACAGAATAAAACTACAAGGACAGTCATCTAAAATGGATGGCTCATCTTCATTTGTTAAAAATAGGTCTCATTTATTCTTGGTTCAAAGTTTATAAGGGGTCGACAACCTCAGAAGGTTAATGGCCACAAATTGGAAGTGACTGGAGTATAAAAGTACATGCTGCAAATGTTGCCTTACTCAAAGCAAAGGCTACTCATAAATATAACTGCCCCAGTTGACAAGTAGGCAGGCTAGTAAAACACATCATTAAAGTTGCTTTTAAAAGGACCAATTCAAGATGGATTATAAAATCTGACCACGTTTTTAATGTTGGGAGGAGCTGAGGCGCAACACAAAGTCACAACTAGTCCACAGGTATGGTTTTGACCCCAATCTCAGTTGAAAGCCTTCACCTATGGAGCTTTCCCGTTTCAGTACTGTGGGTGCCTTTGACTCTCCAGTGGAAATCTGGGGAAAGAAAGTGTTATCTCCCTCAGTCACCCCATATCAAAGTCCAGGCAACAAAGAATACTACACTATGAGACTTTTCTCAAGGATAGGTTTGGTCGGCCTTTTTCTCCATAATCTGAGAGCCTAGAAAGGCCTCATCGGAGGGAGGTGTGGCATGGCTTCCCAAACGCTGCGTTAGGGATTAATCTGCCAGTCCCCTGAGGAAAAGAAAGATGTTGCTCATTCTCCAGACAACTCCGATGACAGAGACACCCAGGCCCTTCCTCAGCAGTATTGTGAGGAAGGGAAGAACAGGGGTTGAAGTGTTACAGAGCAGACAGCTGAAAAAAAGTCCCAAAGGCAGGATAGATCCGGACACTGGCCCGAGAAAGAAGGGAGGGGGGTGACCTCTTTCGGCCGCCGAGGTGGTGGAGCAAGAAGTGTGGACGACCCCTGTCCCACAGGTGATCTCTGCCACAGCCCGAGAAGCACTGCGCGTCGGGTTCGCGCCCTGTGTCTGGTCCCCAACACGCACCAGATTGAAGGTGCCCTCTCCACCACTCCCGCTGCCCTTAAAGGTCTCAGGCCCAGGATACCTCTTAGGACGTTAAGACCGCCGCCGCTTCCCGCCTCAGAGGCCAGACCACAGCTTCCCAGATGCCACAACGGTGTCACTCAACAAAGTGACCCCGCCGAACGTGAATCAGGATGCTGGAACGCACAAGGCTCAAGTGGACGCTAGCTTCTCACCAACCCCTAACCGCGCCCACTAGCAACGTGCTAAAGACGGTCAGTGCCGCTGGGGTCGTCTCTCAGAACGCCTGCTGCGCGCAGCACCACGGGACTCGTAGTTTCGGCGCGAAGGTTGTGCGATGCTCCATTCAATGCCCAGAGCGGAGTCACGTGACTGTGCACTCCCCGGAAATGGGGAAACAGTACTCGTGTGGCGCCGCTTTGTGCTTCCGCAAACAGAACGGAGGGTGGCTGCGTCGGTGAGTGTGGTGGCTGGAACACTGGCCTTCCCATTCTTTGTATTTGGGTTCTCCGTCGCCATCCAGTTGGAAGGGGTACTCCGACTCCTGACACGAACTCGCTTTGTGTTAGCACTGTGCCTTCAGTATCCTTTGCGAGGGGTTTATTGTGCCATCAGCGCGAAGCAAAATGGGCAGTTCTGGAGTCGGGGCGGGGGCGGCGGGGGGGGTGTCTAGTGCTCCTCCAGACTTAGCGAGTCCAGGTCTGGACTAGCACAAGAATTGCATTGGGCCGCGCTTCAGGGCCGCGCGGAGAGGGCGGGCTAGGGAGAGGATGTCAGATGTGGAGTAGCGTTTGTGTGTCTTGAGCGGAGTATCAGAAACCTGAGCCGAAGGTTTGGTTAAGAGCTAGGCCGCGAATACAACGGAAAAGGGTGAACTTGGCTGAAAAATTCTCGCCTTGTCGCGTCTTCTTGGTCCCTAAAGTTGACCTGGTCTAACTGCCGGGTCGAGAAGGTGAGCTTATCAGCTGAATTAAAGCCTGGCGGTCCTACTGCTCAGCCTGGTTCTCTGAGAAACTGAAATGAATGAGAAGGCTTGCCTGAGAGGTAACTGGAAAGCCAGATGGAAATGTCTATTTGGTTATTTATTGCACATCCAACTAGATGTCAGTTGACTCTTTTCCGTAAGCTCCTTCCTCCAGAATTCTGAAGGATCCTCCTGCGTTTGGAATTGATTCATCACTCCACTCTGACTCTCAGTTTCAAACATTCTTACCCATTTCTGTTGTCGGTTGGAATTCTTTGTCATTTATTCTGACCGGATTGATTGTTTTTATGACATTTCGTCTGTAGAAATAGAGTTGCCTACATAAACAAAATTCACACCTATTTTCAACACTAATTTCAGGTGTTAATTACAGCTAATAATGATAAATCACTTTGGTTCATTTCAATTTAAAACCCATTTCTGTTCTTCTTTAGGAGATAAATGACAGAGAAGATAAGGACTTGATAATTTGGAGGCCAGTTTTACTAGGTAATCATTCTAAGTAGTCATTCTGCAAAATACTTTTTGGTGTTATACCCCCGACCCGCATTTCAGCTCCTCCTATTTTGGATGGCTTAGTATTTTGTTATCTCAAACCTTGAATAGTGAAAAAAGTTCCATACCCCTTGAAACCTTTCCCACTTTATAATGACTTCTTGTTATGCATTCCCTCAAGCAACTTTATTTCTTATTCTGTATTTCTTATTAGTACTCCCATATTAGCATATTCAGAAATTTCTTTACTCAAAAGACTCTCCCCTTTCCCTTCATAACGTTCAGGTTCTGAATTTACTGAAAGTCACTAATTTTTGGACTTCTGCTCTCCCTTTTCCATATATATATTTTGAGTAATACAGGCTAACATTTTAATAATGGTATATAAGCTGTAAGCTTCTTGAACACTAATTCACACAGTATCTCATGGAGCTCCTCTGTAGTAGGAGTTCAGTAAATTCACTGACAATAAAGAGATCACTATAACAATTCCTGTCCACGTGATAGTTCACTTATTTCCCTCCCAGTCCCATTATACCTAAGAACATTTGGAGAGACTTACTGTTTATTTAATTGCAGACAGAGTCTTGAAACTTCTTGTCCAAAGCCACTCTCTTTACTTTCTACCTAATTCTGATACTGTCACGAAATAGGGATTTCGGAATTCAACTGTAAGTTTCCACACTTTTCTTGTTCTTAATGCTCTTAGTGCCTTTTTTTTTTTCCTAGTGTCTTGGCCAAAAAAAACCCTAACAGTACCACTCATAAGTAGTTTAGTCCAAAGAATTTAAGTATTTATGTCCTCACAACTATTTTAAAAATAATACAAAAACTGAAAGAAAAAATAACATTTGTGTTTAATTCTTAGTTAACCATGAGTCTTTACTAATGGAATGTGTACACCTGTTGGGTGTTATACAACTTCTCTAGCCTTGAAATAAGATTCAACATCACCAACTTCATTTCTTCATTTCCTATTTAACTGATTTTCTGTGCCACAAAAATCTCAACTTTACAAAGTTATGAAGTCATTAAATGGGATGTAGTGCAATCTGTTTAGCTGAAGGTGTGCTTTACTTGAAGTTGTATCTGGGTATCTTCCAGATACCCAGTATCACTGTGCTTCCCTTGAAAGTTTAAAATAATTCTGCTGTGCCTATAATTTGTGAACCAAGACTGTAGAGTAAGGAATAGAATAGAAAAGGAAATTGTATGCCCCAACTTCATTTGTCAGTTTTAATGCCATTAGTGACTATTATGGGTAAGATTATAGAAGTGTGTGGGGATTGTAATTAGCACTCTCATATCAGCCTATTCATAAAATCATATTAATTTAAATTAATGTTTTTACGAGATTTTTAAAAAATGCCTAGTTGATCACTGAAATTAAATGGTTAGCTTCTGGTTTTAATTGTTTTAAAGTGTTTATAAGTAAAATCAAATTTCTGCCATTTCAGTGTTAGTTTATGAAGTTTTACCATCTGTTGAAGTAATCAAAAATGGAAAATTTTGCAAAAGCAGAGGAATGTGTAAAGATCTCTCTTGAAGAAGCAAAAATATCAATAGATTCAGAAACAGAGTCTTCATTCAGTATTAATGAAAACACAGCTGCTCCTGGGTCTAGGCTTTTGGAGAAGGCTCCTACCTATGGGCAAGTAGACACACTGAAAAAGAGAAAAACGGAATTTGCAGATGATGTTATAAAAGAGTTTTCCAGTTGTGGGGAAGATATTCCATCCAAGAAAAAACTTGATGCTGAAATTGTCCCAGAGGAAAAAGGTTCTGGTGATGATGAAGGCATTTCAAGGAAAAGAAGACTGGAAACTGATGATTTTACAAAAGATAAACCTTCTCCTGGAGATAACACCCAGAAAAAGAGAAAAATAGAACTTGAAGATGTCCTTGAAAAACAAAGAGTATGTTCATTGTATTTCCTTTTATTCATAATAGAATATGTCAAATTGAAATGTGAAGCAGCTGTGAAATAATGCTGGTTTTTATGTAATCTTAATAATTTCAGAATGTTTTTTTTATTGTGTTAAGATAGAGTAAGCTTTTAACTCTTGTACTTTAATTGTTTTTATTTAGTTGAAACTTCTGCTAATGAGATAATTTTTATGTTATCAGATGTCTTATTTGACCAGAAGCTTGAAAGTGAGTTTTTATAGTTTGCTTTGTCTTGGCATTTTTAAAAAAGACAAGAGTATGAGGTCCAGATGATTTATCTTTTCTCATTTTTATTAGGTGTTTATTTCTTTTTTGTGTCTGAAGTAGTTGAGATTATCACTTAAAATGATAAATTTCAAAAAAAATACCCAGCTTTACATTCCCTTTCTAATGTAGTTCCTTCAACTATATTGTTTCAACTCCTTGTTTAGGTAGTTACATACAGTTTTAGTTAAGTGGATGCAAAAACCTGGTATTTTGCAGGGATACTATAGGGCAAGTCATTTTCTTCTGGGAATATCATATTGTGAAGGAATCTGAGGCAGAATCTTGGTCTGGAGGGAAAGAGAACTTCAGTAAATGAGTAAAATTCTGCCATCAGCCCATGAAGAGGAAAGACACATGCTAAGCATTTGTCATTAGTCTCTGGAGAATGAATCCTTGTAACGGAGGGGAGCTTGTATTATAAACATAGTTTCAAACTTTTACTAGCAACCAAACCCTCTTCTCAAGTGAAAATCTTAAACCTGATGTGTAAAGTAGGTAAAAGATGAACCACTTTGGTTGAACAGGGAAGTATGGGGATCTGAAACCCTTTATCTGTCATGGGATTTTTGCAGAATGCTTAGGACCTTAAGTAGGGAGCATAAATTGAAAATGTTGAATTAGATTAGTAGCAAATAGTGGGAATCACTGACACTGAACATAGCCTATTGAGTTCTAAACCCTTTGTATGTATGATCTCATTTAACAGTCAACTATTTTATAAATATAAATTATTCCTATTTTATTTTCTTGTAGGAACACCTTCCCTGACTGGCATTTATTGAGTTGAATAAATCAGAACTCTGGAAGAGTACTTGTTTTATTAAAACTTTGATAGAATAATTATACAGATGAAATACCAAGATGAAAATTTTAAACCTAGAGATGTTTTTAAAAATAGGGAGTGGGGGAAACATGTCTTATGTCTGATTATAATTAGTAGAATTTCTGTAGTTAATGCCTCTGTTTAATGGAATTTATCAATTTCAGTAGTATTTTATCCTTATATAGGTCAGATACTCTTTTAGGTTTATTTTTTGCCATGTTCTAATCCTTAATTTTCTTTCATTCTCTTATTTTCAGAATTTAGAAGAAGGACACAGCTCAACAGTGGCTGCTCACTACAATGAACTTCAGGAAATTGGTTTGGAGAAGCGTAGCCAAAGTCGTATTTTCTACCTAAGAAACTTTAATAATTGGATGAAAAGCGTCCTCATTGGTATGATTTTTTTGTTTTATACTTTGGAATTTTTTATTTCAGCTTGTCTCATGTTTCCCCCCTGAATGGTTAATCATGCACCAGGTTTCTAGATTTTTAATTCCTGTTCATTTAATTGTCACATCTTGGCTTTGTAAAATGGGAGCCAAAACTAAAATTAAACTTTTGAGATAAATTCTTTTTATATCCACTTTTGGTTGACTATATAAGGTATTAATTAATTAATGAGTGTTTAATGAATATTAAGTTGAAAAGTTAACAAGGCTTTCAAAAGGTAGTGTGTTCCTTTTTATGTGGAGTTAATGCTAATTAATGCTATTAAGTAATTATTCTATTTCACTCTAATAATTTTGAAGCAATAACATTGTTGGATTAAACATACAGGTTCCATTAAATCAAAGAAATTGGCAGTATCATGATTTTTTTTATTTTGAGGCATTTAATGAGTTGGTAAAGATCATATTTTTGTTGATTATCCATTAAACTTATTTTTCTTGTATGTGCTTGAGAAGAAAATAAAGTTTACATTGAGGATTACTGAAGATATTCAGCTTTTTAGATCCAGCATTGTATCAATGGAAACTCACCATTGGTATTAAAATGGAAATCAGTGGAAGAAATGTGACTCAGGATATATTTATTGCTTTGTATATCTGTTACATCAAATAGACTATTACATGAGTTTAAAATTTTAAAAAGCCAGTGTATTTTGAAGTTTTTTACATTAAGGTTTTTTGTTTTTGTTTTTATAAAGCCAGTCTCAGGAAAAGTGAAAATGCTTTCTTGATTATACAGGGCGGAAAAGTGCTAATTATAGATACTTTTTTCTAGGTTTAAATGATAATCTATTTTTAAAGATAAATTAGACATTCTGAAATGTATTAGTAGTGAAAACTAGGCTTATTTTTCAGACACATTTTAATGTTTTCTATCTTATTTTTGTTATTAATATTCACAATTTACTACAAAAATATGACTTATTTGACTCTGCCATTGTAAGCTGGGGTAATTGAGTGCATGTTTAATATGTCATTTGTAGCCTATACTTAAGATAATCTTTGGACTTTAGTCCTAATTTCTTTTCTCTTGCTTTTCTTATGCAGATCCAATGATGCAGATTACTTATTATTAGGTATTTTTTAATGATGTGTATTCATGAAAAGACTTAAGTCAGACTAGCAAAATTTTATCTAAGCATATTCATGACATTTTCCTTCTTCAGCTTTTCCAGCAACACTCTCAATGGATACTTTGCCATCTGCATCTGTCTTTCTAGTCCTAATGCAATCTTGTGGTCTATACCAAGCTCCCTGTGCCTTTTTCCGTGAATTTCTTCTCAAAATCTATCCTTCGTCATTCTTTTTTTTTTTTTCTTTCTTGTTGGTGCTTACTGCTTAGTTGAATAGTTGACTACTATTCATGAATGTGGTGATGATGTCTTGGAATAATGTTTCATCATGATTTTCTTCTCATTAGTTTTACTGTATAGAAATAAAGAGATTTTATAGTTGTTTTTCACTCTTTCAATATTTTTATGCTGTTTTCTTAAGATTCATAACAAAAAGTTAAATATGGAATACTTGCACTTATAATGAAACTACTTTAATATCATATAGATAGTGAAAGGCAGAAGCATTTTATACAGAATATGCTAGCAATCTTTTCATAATATACACATAAAATAGAAAGTGTTAAACTCAGAGTGGTAAAGACAGGAAGAGCAGACCTAGGATGCAGTAGTATACAAAGTTTTAGATTGCTGAATACATCAATCATCTAAGAATATTAAGATGCCTATAAGTGAATTTGAAGCATTTGGTTATTGATATATGGGGATCTACTAATACTATTTGTTGGCTACTAATGTGATTTGGTAGATTGGGATGAAAGATTCCATTTTTTACTTCAGAGTGTTTTAAGAATTCTCATGATAGTAAAATTAAGAAAGTATGTATATTTTTGACTACTTCTTGTATTTCTTTTTCTTGGTGGTAAGCCTGACACATTTATGGTAATCAAGCACTTATTCCATAATTATTTTGATTAACCTAGGTGTATAATAAGCTAAACACTTAGCGTTGGAAAGAGAAAACTATGAAGGATTAGTTGAATCTTCTTGTATTACTAGAATTTAAAATGTCAGCTATTTAATGTTGAATCGGGTTCTGAAAGTAACCTTCAAAAACCTGCCCTAACTTTCTAAAATACCGGATATATTGCTTTTTCATCTTTAATGCTAGAGAATCAAGTTAATTAACTAGTAGTCATATTTTGAAATGTTTACCAAAAGTTATAAATTACATAAGTAAAAATATAATACTTAGTATTACATGTCAGGCAGAAGTTAATAAGTTATTAGGGGAAACAATTTATGCCTTAGTAAAAATGGAGATCTTTTATTATGACTTATTTCTCTGTTTTAGGGGAATTTTTAGAAAAGTTACGACAGAAAAAAAAACGTGACATTACTGTTTTGGACCTGGGATGTGGTAAAGGTGGAGATTTACTTAAGTGGAAAAAAGGAAGAATTAACAAGCTAGTTTGTACTGGTAAGTTAAATAATGGTGTGGAAAAGAGTAATATGTGTTCAGTCAGGGAAATGGAAAATAAGATAGATCTCATTACCTAAATGATACTAAAATATTTTAAGTTATTTGGGGGCTGTACAGTAGATGTGTGTTTTTAAAATGAGATATCAGACTTTATTAATGGTATTATAGTATGGATTAGTCTAGAATAACTTGTCCCTCTTAAAAGGAGGGAAGCAGTCAAAGATGATTGGAGCCATGTCTAAAATATAAACTCAAAAAGATAGGACAGTTTCTTTATCAGAAAGAATAGTGATTACAGTGGATTGAAACTCATCAGATGAATGGGAAAAAATCTTACTGTTTATCCTTAGAGGTTGCTACAAAACTTACTCATTATTCTGAAATTCATAAATTAAGTGGGGAGGCACAGATTGAGTATTTCATCTTCCCTACCCTATATGAACCGTATTTCAAGGTAAACCAAAAGGCTGGAAAGGGAAATTCTTCTTCACTAAAAAAATCATAATGAATAAATGCAGGAAGAATGATGAAAATCACAATTTTTTTCACCCTGATGAAATAATAGATCTGAGCAACAATCATAAACAGCTGTTAGGTGAAGTTGAAAGGAACTTAACCTAATGAATCAAGCCCATGAACCCACTCCTCAGTTTTACACTAAAGCGGAACAAGCAGACATCATGTTCTTCCCAATGTGATAAATAATAGCGCGTAGCACCACCTATGAGGTATTGCCTAAATTGGCACTTCTCAAATTTTTTGCTTTTAGGATCACTCTGCACTCTTAAAAATGATTGAGAGGTCCAGAAAGCTTTTGTATATGTGGTTATATCAATTGATTATAGAAATTAAAACACAATTTTAAAAATATGTTTAATCCATTGAAAAATAAAATTTAGTGAAAAAACTGGCATTCTAAAAATATTATTGCCAATCCCTTTAGATTCTGGAATAATAGGAGACAGCTGAATTCTCACACCCATTTCAGCATTCACTATGTTCTGATTTGTTACTTTGTTTGATAAGTAGTTGTTAAATGAATGAGTATTTTAATAGTCATTTCAGATAATTGAGGATATTCATCTTTGGTAATACATCAAAATTTGACAACTAAGTAGTTCCTTAAAGATCCACAGTGTGGAATCTGAAACCATATTGATGAACTTTCATAATCTGTTACATTTAATTCCATTGGTCTGTCTTGCACTTTGAATGGTTCTTTTGCCCCATGAGATTTTGTAAATATTTAGAAAATAATGTTCACTAAAACAGTGCAGATCTTCTCTGTGTTGACATCAAGAAATCACATTTGTTTAATATCACTACCATCCAGAGAAGTAGTGGCAAGATGCCCAGTCCAAGGTGGTAGACATAAGTTTTTCAGAATTGTAATTTTCACTTGAAAGCTCAGATTTTGTTGTTGATAAAAATATGTTCACCCTGGCCTGTGTGGCTCAGTTAGTTGGAGCATTGTCCCATAACCGAAGGGTTGTGGGTTCAGTTCCTGGTCAGGGCATATACCTTGGTTGCAGGTTTGGTCCCTGGTCCTGGCACATGCATCCCTGGTCCAGGCACAGAAAACTGCCGATTAATGCTTCTCTCTTGCATCAGTGTTTCTCTTCCACCCACTCCCTCTAAAAGGAATGTTTTTTAAAGTCTGTAGATGAGGATAAAAAAAAATTCATTCATTATTTTTCCTGAAGTGATAGGCTCACTCTGTTTATTTTCAGGAGAATGTCTGCTATATTTCTCCATCTGAATAACTACTTTGTTTGTCAGTGGTTTTTTCAAGTGAAAAGAATTTTCTGTGAAAAAGGGGGATAGTACAGCTCACAGTGCTATCACACCAGTCCTGTTCAAACTTTTTTAATAACAGAAAATTTTAGTTACTTTCTATTTCATCAGAGAATATTAAAAAGATGTATTCAAGAGCCAATAATAAAATTCAGTTTTACTGTTCAATCAAGGATATTCTTAAATGAAACTGGCTTTTTTTTTAATGCTAGTTTTACAGCGGTGAAGAATATATATAAGTAATACCAGTACCACTTGGTGCTACTACCTTGTATATTCATGATCAGATGGCAACATTTTACACACTGTTGCTTTTGCTCCATCAGTGCAAAAGGGACAAATAACATTGTATTACGAAGATATACAGTTGATATTTCCAAAACTGGACGTACAGTGTTAGGTTTTCTAATGCAAATGATAAAGTTTTAACTTTGAGTAGACATTTTAAAATCATGGTAGGATCTTTCTGTTATAGGTACCTATTTGGAAAACTTTTAATGTCTTTTGAAAAATAATAGGACATTTATATTGCAACAAAGACTTTTCTCTTTTTTTTAAGGAATAGAACTTTTCGCTTATACTAAGGCTAGATAGATTTCATGGGAAAGTTTATCCACTGAGATTAATATCTAGATCTGTGCCATCTTTGCTTTCCTTTCTGTTATCTCTATGCATCTTTGTTGACAGTTACTAGTACTCCTTCCCCTTCCAGATATTGCTGATGTTTCTGTCAAACAGTGTCAGCAGCGGTATGAGGACATGAAAAACCGTCGTGATAATGAATATATTTTCAATGCAGAATTTATAACTGCTGATTGCTCAAAGGTACATGGTTTTTAAAATTTGTCAGTTTATTTTTTATGTATTCAGTCTGAATAAATGATAAGTTTTAAAATCAGATCTTCTTAAAAACATGCTTTGAAACATTAAAAATCTTATGAGTTTTCAGTTTCAACTAGAAATTCTATTATAATAAAACTTTTTTAATGATCTACTGAGTACTTCTGAAAATTTTTTGCTTTTAATAATTTGAACTTTGAAGTCATGGTTGCTTTTCCATTTGAATAAGATTTATTTTCCTCTGTTTTGAAATAGAACTAAATTTATGTTTTTTTCTCTTTGTAATTTAGGAATATAGTTTCCCACCATATTATAGTCTTTTTTATTCAACTTCTCTCTGTTTCTGAATTACATAACAACTATGAAATTTAGAACTACAGAGACACTTGATGGTAAAAGTTTTACCTTGAACTTTATGTTCTTTGGCTTATTAGCTCTTTAAGCTGTTAGAGATCCTTTAATCATCCTACGAGTGGTGTTAGCAGTTGTGAAAGGGAAAGTGGTAGTATGCTGCTGGAATGTTGGAAACCCTTAAAAATGCTAGTGTATTTTTTTTAAATGTCCATAAGTCCAACTTTTTATCCAAGTTTCTGTTCAGTGTCATTTTACTTAGCTTTCAAGTAAAGCCAGATAAAAGGATCAGCTCCTTTAAATGTCACATTTGATTGATGCATTTTAACATGATTTCAAAACTTCTAGTTTTTAAAAATTATAAAAATGGAAATCAATTCTGTCAAGAATGAAAGAATGATTTCATTATGACCTTTGTTATACACAAGAAAAAGTATAGGTTAGTTGGAGGGCATGTCTACTTTTATTTTAAGGATTCTAATTCTAGAAATTAATTTATTAAAAAGTTTTTATGTTGTACTTTAAAATATTTACCTGTTTTAATTTGCTTTAGGAACTTTTGATTGACAAATTTCATGACCCAGAAATGTACTTTGACATCTGCAGTTGTCAGTTTGTCTGTCATTACTCATTTGAGTCCTATGAACAGGCAGACATGATGCTCAGAAATGCTTGTGAGCGACTTAGTCCTGGAGGCTATTTTATTGGTACCACTCCCAATAGCTTTGAACTGATGTAAGTACTTTCAAATATATTGCAGTTTACAATAAATTCAGTACTAAGCTTCTTTTAAAGTAGCAGTGTTTATCAGAGTTTTCATAAAATATGTCTTGTTGCTCTTATAAGGGCTAACCATTTTGATAATATATTTGAGTAGATATCAGAATTTAAGTTCAAATTTACAGATGGACCTTTAAAACATCTTAATTTGTAAGTTGGAGGCTGATGTTATATTTAGCCAGAGAGTGTAGTACTGGATATGCTGCACATCAGATACTAAGGCACAGAAAATTAACCAATTGCCATGATAGTGAACCCTACCCTCCAGGCTAATTTTATTATTAGCGTTTAGTATGTTTATAATCTTTTAGTATGTTGCTTCTTAAAAATAGCTCAAATTCTATTAAAAAGCTAATCAATTATATTTTTAAGATTTCATGTAGTTTTTTTATATATATAATCTAATCAAAAGAAATCTGAGCTAATAACAGTTTTAATCTTTTCTATTGTTTTTTGGGAAAAATTATTGTAGAAGACGCCTTGAAGCTTCAGAAACAGAATCATTTGGAAATGAAATATATACTGTGAAATTTCAGAAGAAAGGAGATTATCCGTTATTTGGCTGCAAATATGACTTCAACTTGGAAGGTGTTGTGGATGTCCCTGAATTCTTGGTCTATTTTCCATTGCTAAATGAGTAAGAATGTTGTTATTCTGTTACTGTTCTCTTTTTGCTTTCAAGGAGATAAAGGGGGAGAAAAATCTATATTTCTAGTCATTCCTTTATATGGGACCCAAAGAAAAATATAGCCTTGATAAAGAAAAAAAGAGAGACCTCAAATCCAGGGTTGATGCCATAGTTCTCTTACAGCCTTAACTTAGTTCTCTTTTATTCCTGGAATTAAGAAAGGGAGTGCATTACCTTCAGCTTATGGCAGAAAATACTTGACATTACAAATACAAATTTTTTTTTTGATAATGGAACTTGGCACTATCAAATGAATTCTTTTGACACAGGGATGGGTATTAAAAGTTGTTTTACATTTCACTGTAGCTCTGAAATTGCCTATGTCTCATAGGCAATATTGATAATAAAATTCTGATTCAGGAACATATCCACTCATACACCTCAGTTCCTAAGAGTCCTGGGGACTCCATAGACATGGGGAAAGTTGGAGTACTAGATTTTATCAGGTAAGATTTCAAGATACCTTGGTCTTGGGGTTTTCCTTGGTAGGAAGAGTAGAAGAGTCAACTTAACAAAAAATGTTTTTTTTAACTGAGGAAAACAGCTTTATTGTCTGCTTAGTTTTAGTTGGTGACTATTTGAATTGTGTCTCAGCTGGTAAAATTATGGGCCTAGGATTTTCAGTTCTACAATATATAAAATTTTTATATCAAAGAAGAGATAGAGTGTGATTGAACATGAGAAAATACTATGCACAATTTGTAAATATAAACTATAAAGTTAAAAAAATTTAAATCACATTTTTATTCTTAAAATTAGTAAACTTCTGGGAAATGTTACTTCTCTTCAACTTTATACCATAAGAAATTAAACATTTTTAGTGTGTTGTATAATGTGTTAGATTGATGTTTTCTGGTTAACAAAGTTGATGATTTTAAAGTTGACTTTTTTTGAGTGCTACACAAGCACTAACAGTCTTTTTTACTTAATTTACCTGTTGATGATAGACATGTAAAGTCACTAGTCATCACTTTTAATACCTAAGTTTTTAAAAATTATTTATTGAAACATGTATTCATTTGGTAGAACAGATTCCAACAATGCATAGAGATTTTTGAGATGCTCTTTTGCCATTTCATTAAGAAACCGAACAAAAGTATAATTAGCTTTTATATGGCAAACCTATTCAAATTGGTCAAATTGAGTTTCAATTCTTTGTAATTATGATATTTCTTAGGTGTAAAACTTGGTTTCATTTCTAAAGGCTTATTTTGGAGATTTATGATAGAAAAGCACTCTACTTCTACTCTACCTAGAGTAGAAGAGATTTTTATCTTTACTCTTGTCTTTTTAAGGAGGTCTAATTTAAATAATAGGGAATCCTGCCCTGGCTGATAAGATTCAGTGGATTGAGTGCTAGCCTGCAAACCAAAGGGCCACCAGTTTGATTCCCAGTGTAGGGCACATGCCTGGGTTGTGGGCCAGGTCCTTAGTAACCAACTTCTGGGGGATCTTGGGGGACATATGAGAAGCAACCACACATTGATATTTCTCTCCCTCTCTTTCTCCCTCCCTTCCCCTCTCTAAAAATAAATAAAATATATAAATTACAGGGAATCCCGCTTTATATATGCCTTTTATATACAAACCCCAGTGACTGTCATGATTTTCTTTATCCTGTCCCCTCAACTGTCACCTCACAACCCCTCTGGGTTCTTTCAGGGGTTTCATTCCCCCCTTTTTTTCTTTTCTCCTTTCCCTGCTGCCTGGAACCATCATCTGTAGGCTCCCTCATGTTCTCTATAGATACATAGTTACAAACTTTGGCAAATGCAGTAAGGAAAAAAAAACACAGACTATAACAGGGAAACCTAATAATGTATTTGAGGATTTAAAGAAGCTATCTGTGAAGAAGTGATGTTTAAGTCAAGATCTATAAAGGATGAATATAAGTTGGGCAGTTGAAGACTGGAATGAAGAATCTTCCATGCATAAGGGACAATATGTATGAAAGACCTGAAGTGGGAAGGAGCTCAGCTAGTAAAAGATGCTGAAGGAAAGCCACTGAAGTACATTTTATAGTTTAATGGAGAGGGTGTAGTGGCATGTTGAATACAGTGGGCAATGGAAAGAGAGCACTGGCATGGGGAACTCCCAGGATTTCTGACATGAGTTATTAGAGGAATTTACTGATATAGCAAAGGCTAACAACAATCCTGTGGGATTCAGCCTTGGATATGAGAAGTTAGAGAATAGCTGTTCTACATCCTGGTGGAAATTTCTTTTAAGCAGTAGAATAAATGAGTGGGGCAGAAAAGAGAGCTGAGCACAGATAGCTGTTAGAATGCTGAGTAAAATCAAGGGATTGAAAATTAGCAAAGGCTCTCTGTCAAACGCTTTAGAACCTTAAAATTTAGAAATTGTCTAAAACAAACCTGTGAAAGAGGCTGAAGAAGCAACCCAAGATTAGGATAATTAATTAATGGTGTATCTTGCCATAGAACCCAAAAGAGGAAGACTATTTTAAGGAGAAAGTTGGCAGCTATTTTCAATACAGCTGTGAGGGATGAGGTTAAATAAAATGGATTCTATAGAAAAGTGCTTCTTATAGCTCCTTATATCCATCTCACAGTCTTTGATTTTACTTCCCAACCCATTTGTTACATTAGTAGAGAGAGCTCCCTGTGACCTATTGAGATTTAGAAGGTATATTTTCTTATAGGTATGGTTAGTGGTATGTTGCTCATTCACTTTGCATCTTTGTATTATGAATATATTAAATGCTAGGTTTTTTTTAGTGAAACCCAGACACCGTCACTGTCATGTGAAAGTAAGCAATTGAGAAATTGCAAATATTTTAGAAGCCTTTTCATTATGTAATCTTTTTTTTTGGACAGAATGGTAAAGAAGTATAATATGAAACTAGTCTACAAAAAAACATTTCTTGAATTCTATGAAGAAAAGATTAAGAACAATGAAAATAAAATGCTGTTAAAACGAATGCAGGCCCTGGAGGTAAGTATTTAGAAAGGTGCAAAAAATTCCAGGTTATGGCATACTTGTTTGGCTGCTTCTGAGATTCTTTTCAAGGCCATGTAAACATATAAATCTTAATATAAATTACACAGATTAATTATAACTACTTCAGGCTCTTTAACACCTAGGACAGAGTTTGGTACGGAAACTTTCCAGGGTAGTAAATACTTGATTGGAGTGATGCTGTCATCAAATTTTATTTTATAGATAGTACTTCTTTAAAGTCAGATTTCTCAGTCTCAGGACTATTGGCATTTTGGACTAGGTAATTAATTATTATGAGGGCTGTTCTGTGCACTCTAGGATGTTCAGCAGCATCCTTGGCCTCTAGGCTCTACGTACTAGATGTCATTTGCACCCTTATCCCTAGTTGTGACATTGCCAAGTGGCCTCTGGTATTCAAAATCACCCCCAGGTGAGAACCACTTCTTTACAGTAATGCCCTTTGGTTACATCAGTAATTTAAAGCCTTCCTGGTCAGGGTCCAAGACAAGTTCATACCATGTTATAATTCTGTTTTTTGTGAGTATCTAGCAAGATTCTAGTCTTTTAGACTATATTGGTCCTGAGATCTGCTTTTACTCCTAGACTCTCTCTGCTTCCCTTAATGCAGCAGTGAAGTAGTCTAAAACACAGTATACAGCTGTTAATTAGTTTTCATTATGTATTTTATCACTGTTTAATTGGATAGATCTAAAATAGGGAGCATTTTTGTTGATTAGAATCATATTAAATAGCCATTAAACTTCTTTAGAGAGTTCACTCAATTTAGAACATTTTAACAGTGTTCTTTTAATCCTCACCCAAGGATATGATATTATTGATTTCTGAGAGAGAAAGAGGAGAGAGAAACATTGATCAGTTGCCTCCCATATACGCCCCAGCCAGGGAATCAAACCCACTACCTAGGTATGTGCACTGACCAGGAGTTGAACCTGCAACCTTTTTGATGTACAGTGTGACATTCCAACCAACTGAGCCACCCAGCCAGGGCTAAAAAAGTATTTTAAGCATGCTCTTGTTTATCCTCATAATTACCCCATGAAGTAGGCAGAGCAGCTACTTTTTCTACTTTTGAATTAGCAGCCTGAGGCTTAGAGATGATAAATGGCTTGTTTGAGGTCACATGGCTATTAACAGAGTTTCTCCAGTATTTATAGGTGGTATTCCAACAAAAGTTTCTTGTAGTTGCATCCCTTCCTCTGATCCCTGGTTTTGAGTGGGAGGGTCACCTTTAAATACTAAATTGTCTTTTAAAAACCAGTAATCACCAAAATGTTATGTTCCTCATTGATTACATTTCTTATATTTGAGGATTAGGAATGCTTGTATTTGCTTTATATTAGGAGAAGAGGCTTGTTTTTATTTGTTTTGAAGGAGAGGAGAAAACCAGAAAAAGTGTGTGTGCGTAAGTTGCCCATACACATACATCCCTTTAGTATGTCATCCTTACCTGATGGTGCTTTGCACAGACAGTGATCATTTATTTATACTTTCTCTTTTCATGTGGGCAATGAATTGATTTACCCAAGATATATGTAGACAGTGGGATATGGGATAATGGTCCCCTTTAAGGACCTTATGATACATTAAGGAGATAAACTTACAAGTTAATAAGTACAGTGTGAGAATTGCAGTAATGAAGAAATAATAAAGTGCAGTGAGTATATAAGAGATCCTTTTGGGAAGAAATAGATGTAAGAGTTAAGGCAGAGAAACATGAAAGAGCAAAGAATGTTGAGGAAATACTAATAACTCAATGTTTCTTAGCGCAGTAGGTCTCCAGTCTCCCTTTTCCCTTATTACTGCCCTTGAGGATATAACTTATCACTGTGGCTATCTGGGGGCTTACATGAGCACTAATGGTGTTTAGTTTGAAAAAGTCTTTTTTTTTTTCTACTTTACCAAATCACTTTTATGGGCCTGTAAAGGATTTTGAGTGAGGGAGGGCATGACTGGACAAGAATGAGAACATGAGGGGGTTAAAAAAAAGAATGAGAACATGACTCTGGCAGCATTAAGAAGTATGGTTCAGATAAATGATAAGACCAGAGGCGGAAAGATTAATCAGGATGCTTTTGCTTTAGTCAAAGTCAGATTTTAAATGGATCTGTTTTCTGACGTTTGGCTGTAAAAGGTCTTTTCTTAACGTTGTCAGCCTTCAGCTGGCCCAGAGTTTCAGTGGTAAAACCAGTAAACTTTGCTCTGCTACTCTGCTAGAGAACAGCCGAGGAAGAATGAAAAGACATAAGCCAAAGAACTGTAGTTATAAAGTCCTGACACCTGTATTTTTTGTTTCCTTCACCTGGCAATAGTTCTGGAAAGGTAACTGCCTTGAGAGGATACACTTAATACACTTAATGGGTTATATACATTTTAACAAGTTTAGAAAAAGTCAGTTTTGCAACTTTATAATCATGTGTTTGGTCATTTAAAATGATCAGTAGGGAAGAGAAACTAGATGTTTGATGACAGGCAAATAAATGGAAGAGTCTTATACTGGTAAGTTGAAAAAAATTACAAAAGAATAGTTTGGCAGACATTAAAATTAAAGTTTTGAAGCTTTGTGATGCGATGAAACCACAAGATGTGGGATGGAGGGCTCAAAAGAACTTAGTGATTGCAAGCAGTCTTCCTTTTACCTTGTGTTAAGATTGGATAAAGAGTATAGTTACTAATGGTAATGATAAGGAAGTCCAAAAAGCCAAATACTTTTTAAACAGCAAACAAAAAGCTAAATTTCTAATGCCTCATCTCACTGTAGGATATATAAAGAAAAATGACCTGGCTGGTGTAGCTCAGTGGACTGAGCGCGGTCTGGGAACCAAAGTGTCCCAGGTTCGATTCCCAGCCAGGGTACATGACTGGGTTGCAGGCCATGACCCTCAGCAACCGCACATTGATATTTCTCTCTCTCTCTCTCTCTCTACCTCCCTCCCTTCCCTCTCTAAAAATAAAAAAAATAAAAAAATAAAATGAAAAAGAAGAGAGCAAAGTAGGCATTCCCAGATAATTTTCTTAGAATTTGTTAGGGAGATCTAGTAGTTCAGTTGGTTAGAGCATCATCCCAATATACCAAGGTTGTGGGTTCAATCCCAGGTAAGGTCACATACAAAAATCAACCAATGAATGCATAAATGGAACAACAAATTGATGTTTCTCTCTCTCTCTCTCTCTCTAATAAATCAATAGATAAAAAATATTTAAAAAGCAAAAGAATATATGTTTTATAGAGTAAGTGGTTGTCATATTAAATACACGTAATTTGTTTTGATATACATGTATTTGCAAAGTACTGTTCTTTGTGGTATAAAGAGAAATTAGCTAAAATAGATTATAAATAGCGCTTGAGGTAATTTGAATAAACATTTGACCAATGTACCCTTAAAAATACAGCTCTCCCTGTGTGTATGTGTGTATGTCCATTCTTTAAATTCTTATGGAAACCTGGAGATTGCCTATATTTTGGAGGCTGGATTATTTTCCTTGTCTTCTTAAACTCACAGGGTTCTATGTTGAGTTTTCGCTTGTACTGTTTCTAATTTCTGCTCATGTCTTCTGTGGCTATTAAATGTCTGTAATGCTCAAATTAATATTTAGCTCTTTTGATAATACATTCCTTCAGCTTTGTGTTATAAGAGAAAAAACCTTTGACTAGGAGTCAGAGAAAGGCAAGAGTTTGCTGATAAATGGTCCTTGGTGGTGATTAACACTGTAGTCTGACTTTAAATATTCTATGATTATTATCCAAGTTCATCATAACAGTTCTTTGTTAGAAGATGATGTCGGCCACCTGTTTTGTTTTTTTTTCATATTTCACAAGTATATGTAGTTTGTCTTCCTGAAGTAATAATACTTAGGGATTTTTGTATTATTTTATTTCACTGGTTCAGTATGTTTAATTCTGAATTGTAAATTTTAGTGTGATATCTTTTTTATTTTAAATACATTTTATTGATTATGCTGTTACAATTGTCTCATTTCCCCCCTTCACTCCCCTCCACCCTGTACACCCTCTCCCACCCACATTCCCCCCCTTTAGTTCATGTCCATGTGTCATACTTATAAGTTCTTTAGCTTCTACATTTCCCATGCTATTCTTACCCTCCCCCTGTCTATTTTATACCTACAGTCTATGCTACTTATTCTCCATACCTTTTCCCCCTCTCTCCTCCTCCCACTCCCTTGTTGCTAACCCTCCATGTGATCTCCCTTTCTGTGGTTCTGTTCCTCTTCTAGTTGTTTGCTTAGTTTCTTTTGGTTTTGTTTTAGGTATGGTTGTTAATAATTGAGAGTTGGCTGTCATTTTATTATACATATTTTTTATCTTCTTTTTTTAGATAAGTCCCTTTAACATTTCATAAAATAAGGGCTTGGTGATGATGAACTCCTTTAACTTGGCCTTATCTGAGAAGCACTTGATCTGCCCTTCCATTCTAAATGAAAGCTTTGCTGGATAGAGCAATCTGGGATGTAGGTCCTTGCTTTTCATGACTTGGAATACTTCTTTCCAGCCCCTTCTTGCCTGCAAGGTCTCTTTTGAGAAATCAGCTGACAGTCTTATGGGAACTCCTTTGTAGGTTACTGTCCCCTTATCTCTTGCTGCTTCTAGGATTCTCTCCTTCATTTTTACCTTGGCTAATGTAATTATGATGTGCCTTGGTGTGTTCCTTCTTGGGTCCAACTTCTTTGGGACTCTCTGAGCTTCCTGGACTTCCTGGAAGTCTATTTCCTTTGCCAGAATGGGGAAGTTCTTTATTATTTGTTCAAATAAGTTTTCTATCTGTTGCTCTTCTTCTTCTCTTTCTGGTACCCCTATAATTGAGATGTTGGAACATTTAAAGATGTCCTGGAGGTTCCTAAGCTTCTCATTTTTTGAATTCTTATTTCTCCTTTTCTGTTTGGTTGTTTCTTTCTTCCTTCTGGTCCACTCTGTTGTTTTGAGTCCGTTTCCTTCCCATCACTATCGGTTCCCTATGCACTTTCCTTCATTTTTCTTATCGTAGCCTGCATTTGTTCATCTAATTTGTGACCAAAATCAACCAATTCTGTGAGCTTCCTGATCACCAGTGTTTTGAACTGTGCGTCTGATAGGTTGGCTATCTCTTGTTCACTTAAAAGAATGGGTTCTGCGGCTTTGATTTGTTCTTCTGTTTGAGCCATCTCTCTCTCTCTCTCTCTCTCTCTCTCTCTGTTTTTCTCTTTTTCTTTTCTTTCTTTCTTTTTTTTTGGTCTGGTCACGCCTGTGACGGTGAGGGGAGGAGCCTTAGGTGTTTACCAGGGCTGGCAGCACCCCAGTCGCTGGATTGTGATGTATGTGGGGGCAGGGTCGAGAGGGAACAGTGGCATTTGCTTTGTTTTCCTTGGGACCTCAGTCCCTTATGCTGCTTCCCCCAAGCAAACTGGGCCCCTCTGGTGCCAATTCCCGTGTAGGTGGGCTTGTGCATGCCATGGGACCTTCCAGGGACCTCTCCTGTGAGGCTGGGTGTCTTTCCGTGTACCTCAACTCCCACAGTTGTCCTCAATCAGTGTCCCAAGGCTCTATTTCCCAGCGCTGGGATCTTGGGTTGCGCGCACTGCCTTGCTTTACAATCACTGCCTCACTGGGTCTGCCGGTTGCCACCCCTTGGCCGGGGTCTGCCAGCTGCCACTTGCACACTCAGGGTCCACCCGCTGCGGTCTTATGCACCCCAGAGGCCTTACACGCCCAACTCTTTCTGCTCTCCACCCTGAGACCCACACCTGGCTGCTCATCTCCACCCCTCCTACTGGTCTGGATGAATGGGTCTATTTCAACTTCTTGGTTGTCTAACTTCCATTCAGATCAGTTTTCTGTCAGTTCTGGATGTTATTCTATTTCTAAATTGTTGTTGTTCCAATCTTGGTTGTGCGTGGAGGTACGGTGTGTCCACCTATGCCTCCATCTTGGCCGGAAATCTTTAGTGTGATATCTTAACAAGAAGTTTCACTTGCTTTCCTAGCCATATCCTGCAAATGAGAATTCCAGACTTGCCTCTGAAAAGGTGGATGACTATGAACATGCAGCACAGTACATGAAGAATAGTCAAGTAAAATTACCTTTGGTAAGTTTTCATTTTTTTAACATATTTTATAAAAAATGGGGGGGAGCATATATTATATGAAAACTTAGGAAGTTATTCCACTGGTTTATAGAACTTAGGTTCACTGAGTTATGAACAGATACATGTTAATCTGTTTTCCCTAAGTGATAATGACTTTTTATAACCATAGGATATAGTATAAAATGTACTTTAGTGAACTGAGAATGGAGTGCCATATATGAAGCACTAAAGATGGGGAAGAAGTTGTAGGCTTAGTTTGTGTTTCCTTGCTATATCATTATATCTTTCTTTTTCTTTTTTTTTTTATTATTGTTCAAGTACAGTTGTCTGCTTTTTCTCCCCACCAGTCCCTCCCAACCCCAGCTATCCCCACCTCCCTCCCCTGATTCCACCCCCTTGGTTTTGTCCATGTGTCCTTTAAGGTTGTTCCTGAAAACCCTTCCCCCTTGCCCCCACATTATCCCTTCCCACCTCCCCTCTGGTTACTGTCAGTTTATTCTTAATTTCAATGTCTCTGGTTATATTTTGCTTGCTTATTTATTTTTTTGATTAGGTTCATCTTAAAGGTGAGATCACATGGTAGTTGTCTTTCACTGCCTGGCTTATTTCACTTGGCGTATATCTTAACCTAGGTACTATTGACTTACGGTGTTCCAGAGATAAAATTCAGGGACTCATGAACTTAGAAGGTGAAAAACTGCATTTTCATTTTCACTGACTTCTACATGGAAGTTCACACTTTCTTTTATTATGAATGCAACAATACCACAGTGGTATTACCTGTAGCTGTGAGTTTGTCATCAGTAGAAATTATAGATATTTGTATAACACATTTCTGATGATCTCTTAGAATATTGTTTACATTTATCATTTCTTTGAATTTACATTAGTTACTAGAATTACCACTATATCTTGTTAGTCATTGCATTACTATATAATTTTTTAATGTTGCGATAAGTGTTTTAAATATAATTTATTTCATTTGGTTGGTATGCATTTTATGTGTGGTTTCTTTGTAAAAACACAAAAATTTTACTTCCTACTCCAAGGCTATTTGATGTTTTGAGATAGGCCTTTTATTATTTCATTTTCCAAGTTAAATATACAAGATAGATGCCTTTTCTAGTTATACATACACACACATGAATACCCTGTTTATGCAGATTTACCTTTTGGTTAAGAATCAGTGGTTGGGAATTTGGCAGGAGGGCAAAAGTGTTGAAAGGATGGTGTTAAAGGTTAATCTCATTCATTTATTGTATATGTTCAGATCACAATATTTACAGTAATTTGTATGTATATTTATAGCAAAAATAGGGTTGTTTGGACAACTCTGCCCATTATTGAAAAAATAAGTGCATATTTATACAGTTGACCCTTGAACAACATGAAAGTTGGGGACACTGACCACTTGTACAAAAATCTATATATAACTTTGGATTACTTCACATTTAACTATTAATAGCCTATGGTTGACCAAAGCCTTACTGATAACATAAACAGTTAATTAACACATACTTTGTATGTTATGTGTATTATATAAAGTAAGCTAGAGAAAAGGAAATGTTTTTAAAATCATAAGGAAAATTTACAGTATTTATTGAAAAAATCCACATATAAGTAGACCCATGCAGTTCAAACCCATGTTGTTCAAGGGTCAACTGTACTTCCATATTCAATCTGAAATTTTTCTTTCTTTCCTTTTTTTTTTTTGTAATTTTAGGGAACCTTAAGTAAATCAGAATGGGAAGCTACAAGTGAGTATATCATCAGTGTAGATTTACTGACATTTTCAAAGATTGTTACAAAGTGATCATTAAAATATGAATGCTTCAGAATTTTTCTGACACATATTAGATTGTGTATATATTTATGTTTATACAAAATTCCTCTCTATGTCTAATTCCTCTTTTTGCACAGCTAGTGTTAAGAGAAAATATATACAAGATGTTGCTTAACATAAACTTTTACAAATATTCTTAAACATTTTCATTGCCTACTTGTTAACTACCCAGCCACATGTATTTGATACCTTTATCTCAGATTTCTGTTGGAAATTTTGGCTTATAGAGCACATTCATGTATTATGATTCTGGCCACTCTGATTTTGAAAGTGAAGGCATAATAAATACTAGAGCATTTAGTGAAGGAGCATTGAGTGGATATTTTAGAGCAGCAGGACAGGCCTGGTATGGAAATATTCTAAAGTGAGATACCCATCTGTGGAAGAGAAGTCAGAGGCCTGGCAAATCTGTGTAAGTCCTGTGGTTTTTCAGCAGATGGGTGGGGAAGCCTCGCTGCTAAGATCATGGTAACACTTATGTGGTTACTCTGAGGAGTTAAAAGATCGTTCCCACTGTTCATTTAAATACTTGTTGATTATGTTGAAGGCATGAATAGTAATCAAAGATAGTCCATTTGGTAAACATTGAGTGTTGATTTATATAAAATTCTATGAAAGGGCTTTAGAGTATAAGAAAAGTAAACAAGTTATAATCTCTGCCTTCCAGAAGTCTACTATCTAATGTAAGAAACAGACATGAATAAATCCATCAGCTGGGCAAATAATTTTAAGTGCTAAAGCTACTGTCATGGGAAAAATAGGTGAAGGAGAGGTTAACAAAAACTTGTGAAACCTGAGAATTAATAATGTTGGATATTATGAAGTGTTTAACATGTTCCCAGGCACTATTTTAAGCTTTTCATATGTTGTAGTTTACTTAATCCTCACAACTGTGTAAGTAGACTACTATTTATTATATCTATTTTTCATAGGTAAGAAAGCAGTCAGATAACTTGGCTAAAGTCCCAGACTAATCCAAATGTTCCATACTCATAGACATAGCCTCCTGGAAGCCCACATGAAAGGAAAATTTCTAAGGACTTACTGAACTGGGTAGAGAGGAAAAGGAAAGAAGACAAAATAGGGCCAACATTTTGAACTTGTCTCAGAATATTGGTACTCTTAGTAGAGATGGGATTGGAAGCTGTATTAGAGACATAATCTTTGACACTGAGATGTGTGCATAAATGTACACATTTCATTACTTTCCTCAACCTAGAGATGGGACAGTAATCTTAGGTATGCCACAAGTCCCAGAGCACAATGTGAGGGCAAATAGCTTTGGTTGAAGGCCTTGATGATATGATGGCTGTAACTTGTGTTGTTATATTAATTATAGACCCTAGTAATAACATACAAATGAATTAGATGGCCCCAGACAGTTGAGGACATGATGAGTTAGAAATGTGAAAAGCAATATGAAAGGAGCAATGGCCAAGCAACAGCCAGAATCTAGCTCTTGGGACTTCTCAGCTCTTTGATAAGGTGAACTATTCTAAACTGGAGGGTTTGTGGGTTGGAAAGTATCTTACATGGTGTCACAGTCTAATAAATTTAAGAAGCTATATTTTGAACTTCTACAGGTCTAATTATTAAGCTCATATTACCCTAGCCTGCCGCTCCTCTAGAAGATGCTTTAAATGTGAAAGTAAAGAATTGTTTCTGAGTTGCTTTTAGAAATGGATCAAGATTTATTTAAACCCCAATTGAAATGCCTGCACAAGAGGCATTTTATATCAGTGAGACTTCCAACATGTTTGAGTTGGAAAGTTACTAATTGCTTCTCTGAAATCAGAAACTGCATCTTAGTGGTTTCAAATGACCCTCCATGAGGGAAGGACAAGACTGCCAGGGTATTTGCAGTAGGTATAGGTGTTTTGAGGTAGGTTGGGCAGGGTTGGAGTGCAGGGCAAGGATAAGGAATGCTGGTCTGTTCTAAGTCGCTTGTGACTATTTAGAAAATTTTGCTTCCTTGTCATCTAGAAGAAGCTACAGTGTTGAATACACTGCCTGTTTTCTGTTCATCTGCCTACTATTCTGCTAGCCATATTTAATTGTCCCTAAAAATAAATAAAGGAAGGAAGGGAGGAAGAGCAGAGAATAGCATAGCATGACCAAAACAGTGTTTTGGAAAGACTGGTACGATGCCTATACAGGCTGGGCTGGAAAGGCAAAAAGCTGAAAGATTGGGTGGCTGTTTCATGGTCTGTCATCCTGCATCTTCTCCCTGTTAAAAAATTAACTGAAGGAGTGATGACTCCAAGTTGAATGAAAGTCCAAGTACACATCCTGAACATCCTTGTGATGTTTTGAGGGTTTGTCATCTTTTCATGTATTTTCTTGATGCAGACCCTGGCTCATGGGGTCCGAGGCATTGTGGATGAGATTAGAGAAATTCACATGGACTACCGAGTCCTGTGGAGGAAGAGGAACAGCATGGCTTCTCCCTCAAGAGGAGAAAAAGTCTCGGAGCACCTTGGCCACTCTCTCAAAGGGAGAGCACCCTGACCCTTGCCTTGACAGGCATTTACTGCTTTTCTGGGCACATTACATGATGGTCCTCATTTACAATGCATAGGTTCACTTTAGGTGGTTACCTTTTACAGAAAAGAAAGGAGAAGATGCCGCTAATCACATCACAGAAGACGGATATTTGCAAATGCAAAGGGAAAAATGGTTGAACTGGTTATAACTCATCCTTGCAAGGTTTAGCACAGACTTTAGGAAGTTACAGTAAGCACTTGCTGCCTCAATTCAGGGCGAGGGAGTTTTAGCAAAAGCAAGTCTCATAGCAGTCTAGGTACAATGCAGGCCTGATTCCCCATGGGAGAACCTGTCGGTGGGCGTGGGTCCTGTCTGGGCCCACGCCTCACAGAATGGTCTCCTATATTTTCTTACCATAAAATGTTTTGGTATTTTATTAGAAGATGTAGATTGGGCTTCATTGTGATGCAGAATGGAGAACCTTAGATGCATTTAGATGTCTTTGAGTGAATACTCATCAAAGCAGGAAATTTTATTTAAGGGAGAGTACCCTTGGGACTGGATTCATGGAGGAATATCACTCTTGGGGCCAGATTAATATCTCTAAGCATTGATTATCATAAAGCTTTTGGCTTGCTTTCCTTACCAGGCCCTGCAACACAGCAGTTCAATCATTGGAATTTTAGTGTGCATGTTATGTATGTTTCTTGTAATTCTTATTAGTTTTTCCTAAATAGAAAACTTATTCTATCTATCTGTCTTGCTCTGGGTTAAAAAAAAAATCGTAAGATTTTTTAGTTTTAATTTTTGCTTTTACACTCTTTAATTTTCGTATCTCAAACTTTTAGAGATTTTTAGAGCTATTGAATTGGTTTTCTCAGGCTGTGATGTCACTGGGTATTACTGTAAGTTTTCAAATATATATAATCCCATATCTGCTTAAATGAAAATAATTGAGGAACTCTTAGAAATAATGAGATGTTTTTCTCACCAAAAGCTATTTGAGGACCTAAGCATTTTCACCAAATTATGAATAGGATTGAGATTGTTTTGTTAACCCTGAGGATATGAGAAACCAAACTCTAACTTTTATTTATTTTCTTTTTAGGTATTTATTTGGTTTTTGCATTTGAGAAGCAGCAGTGAGCACCAGAACAGCTGTGTTCCATCTTATACAGATTTGAATGATCCACCTTAAATAGATTTGACAACTTTCTGTTTGTTTATTTTAATTATTCTGAATGTACAGGATGCTGTCAGAAACTCCAGTGCATACATTTAATATTTGCTGTCTGTGACAGACTAACTTTGGTGTGTGTATATAAGAATGAATTGGGACCTTCTTCTTTAAAAATCTATTTTTAATGTTCAAATAATTCCATTTGCCTTTACTCTCTTAGCTTATAAAAATTATACAGCTTGTTAAAGCCACTGAACTCTTTCCACAGTGCTCTGACTTGCTCAGTCTGTTTACAGTATTAACTTTACTACAGTTTTAGAATTGATGAAGGAGTATGCTGGTTTGCAGGTGTGTGTTCTCATTTCCATCATTTCGTAGTGTGTTTCCAGATTAAATGGATTGCTTTTCTGTGTAATTGAATGTAATGTTCAGTATGTATCACTAAAGGTATAAGTTTAAAACTAAATTTTAGATGGTCATAATAGTTATTTACTCAGAATTTTAGCCAGTTATTACATTTTGTTATAAATTGTAACTATTTTATTTGCTAATATGATGTAATTCTGGAATCAGAGCATTTTGGATGCCAGCATAGAATGGCTTTGTACCTTGGGGGCTTTCTCTAAAAAATTTCCTGCCATACCAATTAATGTTTCTAGATTTCAAGAATGTAATTAGATTTACCTCCTCTTCATTGAACAAAAATGCTGTAGTTGTTTTTTCTCAAGATATAATGGAAACCTCACCATGTAAACCCATTGCAGATTATTGTTGGATTTAGATGGGAACTGCAATCGGGGGATGTGGTTATTAAAAACAAAACAAAACTGAACAGACTTCAGGTTAATTCTTTCCTTGTTAGATCTAGGTTACTGACATTACCTGTTATAGATCCATTACTTCCTTTGTCCCAGAAAGAAGCAGGAGTATTGATTCCTCAATTATAGTGTTGTACTTTGCATAGTAGGATCAAGCGTCTTACCACCATTCAGAATTTGTATTTGCCATTTCAAAACTATACAGTTGTCAGTCCTGGCTTCTTGCTTGATTACTGTTCCAAAATTGATGTGAACCAAAGTTAGGTTAACTGATGTCTATACATCACTGTTCAGAAAAGTTGACACTTTTTGCATGTAGGAAAAAACTTAAATAGCAAAGCAGCATAATTATTGCATATTCTTTTAAAAATCATTTCCTTTAAGCATGTTTAAAAACATTACTTTCTATAATTATCATGAATACATATAAAAAGTGTAGTTTTTACTTTGTTTATATATGTTGTTCATGGGGTTGGAATAGCAAGTCTCTTAGCAAGAAACATTGGTTAATGAATTTATGTTTCTTCTGCAGTCTGTCAGTCTCCAAACTGTTACCAGTTTACAAAAATTAAGTCTTTTTGCCTTGGTGGTTGCCCTGAGTCATTTGGGAAAATAACAGTACATCTGATTATGATGACTGCTCTTAGCTTGCTAAGGTTTTTGTAATGGTGTAGTGCTTAGGAATTAGAGATGGTAAACAGGTTCATTTTAGTTCTGAAGGAAGTACCAGAAAGTATTGTAAAAATTTAGTAGAACATAAAAAGCTTCTTTATTATTTTCTATCACTATTCTCATTTAATGGTCTTAGTTAATTCTAAGTAAATAATAAAACATGTTTAGCCTCTTTCTGTTCTTTTCACCCCAAAGGATGGAATAATTGTTGATAATACAAAGCAGAGAGAAAAGGAAGGGCCAGGGCCATGAGTAGAAAGGCGCATAGGAGATCCTGAATGGATGGATCAGGGTTCTGGGGTCTGAGTGCACTGTTGTGTGTGCAGGAAAGGTGCAGATCTGCACCTGAGAATGTGGAATTCCAGAAGTCACCCTTTTCTTTGAGTGTTAGTCTCACTGTCTTCTCTGGTCGTCCCTCCACTCCCTGGTGTCTCCTTGCTGCAATTAAGTGCCTGGACAGTCGCCCCTGCCCAACATCACCAAGCTGGTAGGACTCCCCACCACACACACACACACACACACACACACACACTCTCTCTCTCTCTCTCTCTCTCTCTCTCTCTCTCTCTCTCTCTCTCTCTCTCTCTCTCTAAATATTTGGTTACATTCCATTCCAGACTTGTAATTATCAGGAAAGGAAGGGTATGGCTTTCACTGTCAGGTCAGTGATGTAAACTGTTCATGGCAGTGACGTGGGGCACTCCCAGACCTGTTTGTCCTGTGATGATGAAAGTAGAAATGAAGATAAAGTCAGCTATTTGTGGAAAGAACACAACTTGATATTGGAAGGATTGATCTAGGAACATGACTGGATGGTGGTGCAACCAAGAACACTCAAATTCAATTTTCTGAGCCAAGGATAGGCTAAAGGGAAGGCACTGTGTAGCCATAGTGTCCAGAGAGAGAAACTGGCCAATTCTTGCTGCATTCAGAGGAGAGGTGTCCTAACCTACAGACAACAAAAAGCCTGCAGGTTGTAACTCTGCTTTTATCTGTGCCCACAAAGCCTCTGGTTCTAGTGTGACTCCCCAGAGAAATTTGCCTTCAGGGAGAGAAGGCATTGATTAGAGACTTTGATGTTTATTAATTAATCCTTGTAATTATCAGTTACAGCTTCATTGCTTAACACCTCCCCAAATTTAGAAATTGAGGAAATATGATTGCTGTCTAAATTTGCCAATGGCATTAATAGGGCATCAGAGCAGAGGTGTACAAAGTGAGACAGGCTTTGAGGTGTAGGGTCCAATGTTAATCATCATTGGAGAGGCAGAAAAAGCATTGTCTGATATCTGTATCTCTGGTCCCATTAGCTTTTTTGGGAATTTATTCTTTAGCCCTTACTAGCTCTTATGTAATTTTGATGTCTTTAAGTACCCTTCTAATGAAGATTTGGCTTGTGTAGGTCTGCCTTCGGGAAAAATACCAGTGTGCATATTCAGTAGAACATTATTTTTCACTGTTGTTAAGATGACTTTTTGTTGTCTACCTCAGGCTTTGTATGTATCACGAGCCTGTCACTGCCAAGTCTCTGGATTTTCAAAATAGAGGCCAGATCTAGGCACGAGGGCTGTATAAATAAAGTACCAAAATGCCTTTGGCATTTGCTGGCCATTTAGTCGAGTAGGAAGCATATACAATTTCATCACCTCCCTAATTGCTGTTATATCAGATACTACACACCTCATCAGAAGTTTCTTCATTTTTCACCCTCTGACAGAGCAACATTCCTGATTCTTGAAAGCAATAGGTGCAGTGGGTGCTATACTTATTTATTTTGTGATAGACTTATTTAGCAGATATATAGGGCTGGGGAGAGCTAACTCTCCACCTTGTATCCTCTCTTCCACCTCTGCTCCCATTTAGCCCTAAAGCATGTGTGCCTGCTCCTCACTGTGATACTGAGCAAGTATGATACATCCAGGAGCACTCTTCTCAGTTTGTTTGGGGAGACATGGTCAGTCCTAAAGCCCTTTGCTCCCTGAACTCCCAGTCCCTGCTTCCTTGGGGACAGTGTAGCTTGGATAAAGTGAGGTTGACAGCTAACCTTAAGCTCCTAACTTAATCATTTTCCTAATTTAAATGTAACTCATTTTGGTCAATTGTATGAAGTAAGGATAGGGATAACTTTTAACAGTGAGGAAACTGAGCCACTGAGAGGATACATATCTGCCCAAGCCAGAGCCAAGATTTGAATGTCCCACATCCCGCAACTCAGGCCTGCACTTCAACTACATTGTTACATTCTTCAAGGGGTGTTATGAAGACTCATGACTCCTTGTCCATCTACTACCTGCAACTTGAAATGTTAACAATTAGAACACTCCACCTATTTTGTTTAAAATTTAGATACATTTTATTGAAGTATAACTGATTTTTCACAAATGAAACCCTTGAATACCATCTGCACACACATCAACAAAAAATATTACCAGTGCCCTGGAAGCCCCCATCATGTTCCCTGACAGTTACTACATCCCCAAGGGTAACCACTATTCTAATTTCTAAGAGTGTAGGTTGGTTTTGTCTGGTTTCGGAATTTATGTGAATAGAATCCAATAATAAATACTCTTTTGTATTAGGTTTATTCAACATTGTGAGATATTTGTTGCATGTTTTTGTTCATGGTTCATTCTCACACTGCATGAATAAATCACGTATAAGTTATTTGATGGATATTTGGTTCATTCCCAGTTGGGGAACGATTAATAGTACTGCTTCAAATATTCTTGTACATGAATTTGGGTACACATAGGTACGCATTTCTGCCTAGGAGTGGAATTGTATATGTTGTATATTATATATGTACTATACAATATTTTCAGCTTTACTGGATACTGCTGAACAGTTTACCCAAGTTCCTGTTGTCTCACATTTTTGCCAGAAATCAATGGTGTTAGTTTTTTCCGCTTTATTCTGGCAGGTATATAGTGGTATTTCAGTGTGGCTTTAGTTTCATTTCACTGATTATTAACAAGATTGAGTACTTTTCATATATGTTTATTGGTCTTTACATGTTTTCTTGTGAAATACCTGTTCAACTTCCCCATGTTTCTATTGAGTAGACTATCTTTTGTATTGTTGGTTTTTGAAAAATGTTTATTCTAGATACAAGTTCTTTGTAGAATGTACTGTGTTGTGAGAATGTATTTGTTGAAAAGAAGTTCTTTATTATCATACAATTTACCAATGTTCTTCATGGTTGGCATATTTTGCTTAAGAAATGTTTACTCCAAGATCATGATTATGAAAAACTGCCAAGTCCACACAAATCTGAGGTTGCCCTTTCTGGTTGTGAGATTCAGGAAAATAAAACTGCGTTTAAGGACTCTAACAGTGATTTTTCACCAGAGATTTTTGCTGTGTCTTTGATTGTCCTGGGCTTACCTGGAATGCTGAAAGATTTTTTTCTATAACATTTACCATTGTGTTATTAATGCTGCCAATGGTGTCCATTAGCAATTGTCTAAAGCTTCTAACTTCCTTGTATTTCCCATTCTTTTTTTTTAAAGATTTTATTTATTTTTAGAGAGGGAAGGGAGGGAGAGAGAGAGAGAGAGAGAAACATCAATGTGTGGTTGCTGGGAGTTCTGGCCTGCAACCCAGGAATGTACCCTGGCTGGGAATCGAACCCGGGACACTTTGGTTCCCAGCCCGCGCTCAATCCACTGAGCTACGCCAGCCAGGGCCCATTCTTAAAATGAGTGGAATCATTAGCAGCAGACAAATCCATCCTACCTGGACTTCTAGTGACTGAGGTTTATTAGCTGAGAATTTCACATTTTTAAGCACTGGGTCAGTTTTTCACACTGTGGATACTCAGTAAGTGTTATATGTAATTATCTCTCACCAGAGTACCTACACAGGATTGTGAGGTACTGTATGTGCCATTCATGTGGCAGCCTTTTCCGTCTTGCCAAAATTATTAATCCGTACCTAATTTTCAATTCATCTGATTTGGCTACAACTCTCCATATTACTAGTTCCAAAGTTCTTCCCTCTTGCCTGATTCTGCCAACTCCCTACCCAGACTCTGTCTCTTCATAGCCATTGCCTTCCTCTGTCTGGGGAGTCCTGTGAGCTGAAGGAAAAATACCTTTCTGTGTTAACAGGAAGCTGGAGTGAGTGACAACTTCTGAGAGACTGAAGGTACAACTAGAAAATAGCCAGACTGTAGATGATAATAGACCTCTGACCCACACCCCCTGCAGCAACCAGCCCTGTAAGCCAAACTATGACTTCTGCGGTCATTTGCCCAAGATGGTCAGGACTTGGTCAAGGGACTGCAAGGTTCCCTATTTTTGCCTCATCTCCACCTCAAGACAAGTCAGAGCAAGCCAAATATGCTCCCCCAACCAATCACAGAATTATACCTGGTTCTGGTTAGCTCACCTTCAGTTTCCTAACACCAATTTCAAACACAGCATACCTGAGTCATTCCTTTTTTTGCTCTTAAACTTTCCCACTCCCCTGCCTGCTTTTGAGTATCTGCCAAATGTCTGTGATGGTGTCTAAGTCCCTTGCTCTAGCAAGCTCTTGAGTAAAGAGCCTCTGTTTGTTCTTGTTTGGATGGCTTCATTAATTTCCACAGCTCCCAGGAACTCAGAAATTTAGGGGAAGTTATTGACTTCTCACATTATTTGAGATGGCATTTTGAAACATTTAACAAAAGGTGGACTTGTGGTTTCAGCTCCAGTTCTAAAGAACTCAAGCTCACCTGCTTAAGTACCTTGGTGATTATATTGAGTCTGCCAGATAACCTTGGGATATTTTCCCATCTCCGTATTCTTAATCACATCTGTCAAGTCTCTTTTGCCACATACAGTCACATACATGTTGTGGGGATGAGGATATGGACATCTTTGGAGGGTGGTAAGTTGCCTACCACAGATATGTGACCTGATGCTGGTTAATAAAATGAAGGGAAATCTATTTAGGGGTTTCTGGGAAAAATTTAGTCCCCTGTAAAATGTTTTATGAGAAGACACTCCTCTTTCTGCATGCCTTTGGACACAGTTTTGGAAAAAGGTGATATGGTAGCCATCTTGCAACCACAAGAGAACAAGCCTAAGGACAAAAATAGAAGACAAAAAAAATTTGGTTATGTAAAAACGTCTTTGAGCTGCTTGGTTAGCCTAGATTGCAAACATCTACCTTAAGAAATTGTTGTTTTTATAAGTGTACCTAGGGATGGGGATAAGATAAACACTTTATAAATATAAGAATGGACACTAATAAAGGGACTCATATAATAAGTATATACATAGAGGCAAGGCATAGCCTCCTTTAAATAAAAGAGTCATGGAGGAAGTTTTAAAAGTTGATGTGAGGTGAGAGCCAAGGGGCCTGGAACTAAGATTAAGGCCTTGGGCAAGATAGACACCTATTTACATGTCCATTTGCAAGACTGGATTTGAAAAATTGAGAAGACCATTATGTCTCTCCATTAAACTGGTGATCTGTGACCCATCAGGGACATGAAAGTTTTATTGAATGCATTTTCCAAGAGCCCAGCTTGTTTGTGAGAAATATAGTAGGTGTTTTGGTTACTAATAGTAATGTATAACTTGGAAAAGAATGAGGGGTGTCTCAACAAGGCTTTGTATTGTGGCCTTAGTACATTATAGATGTGGGATTCTAATTATATTTTATTTATATTTGATTTATATTTAATATCTAGGTAAGAGATTCCAAGGGTTCTTTACCCTGAAGGGGAACAACTTCTAGGCAATGACAGCTTGTAGTAAATGTGAATATGGGGCCATTTGTTGGCCAGGGCATCTGGGGCTAAAATGACTGCCTCGAGTTTGGCCAAGTGTGTTGTTTGAGCCCTGTCCTTTATCAGGGAGATCCTGGCTAAGGGAAAGCAGCATGTTCCACTGAGTTCCATCATGTATGGTGGTTAGCAGGGCTAATTGTATTGTCTGTAAACTCCCATTGCTACTCGCTCAGTTAGTCCAGGGGCTCCCTTAGGTAGCAATGGGAGTCTTGGGTAGGTGTAACACCTGTAATACCATGGCATCTGAGAAGGGACTAAGGACTGAGGACACCACCTCCTCTTGCACATGGAATATGCCAGAAGGTGCAGGTTTGGATCCATCCTATCTTAAGGAGGACTTTGTGACTGTGCCAAATTTGTGGAATGCTGTTTCATTGCAGAAAACATAATGAGCAGCTGCATATTGAGAGCCCTGGGCTCAAGGTCTGTGAGAGCCTCTGTTTTCAAGAAAGCCTAGTAAGTAAGCCATTCATTTGTTATTTTAATTGTGTATAGCATGAGGTCAAGAGGAACAGTTTCTTGCATTAAATGCCCTTGGGCAACTTACGACCATTATAAGTGGACCCAGATTCCAGGAGGCCTAAGAGAAGATTGCCAGAGCTTCAAGAGTGAAGTTTTTTTGTTTTTGTTTTTTTATTTTTTTTGTTGCTATTGGATTACAGTTGTCCCAATTATTCCCCCTTTGCCTTCTCCACCCAGCTAGACCCCACATCCCACAGTCAATCCCCACACCATTCATTCTCCATGTCCATGGGTCATTCATATATGTTTTTTGACTAGTCCCTTCCCCTTCTTTCCACCATTATGCCCTCCCTACTTCCCTTGGGCCACTGCCATTCTGTTCCATGATTCCATGTCTCTGGATGCTCATTAATTTATTTGTTCATCAGATTCCTCTTCTAAGTAAGATCACATGGTATTAATCTTTCACTGGCTTGTTTCCCTTAGTATAATACTCTCCAGTTCTATCCATGAGGTCACAAAAGGTAGGAATCTTTCTTTCTGCTGCATAGTATACTATTGTGTAAATGTACCAGTTTTTCAATCCACTCACCCACTGATGGTCATATAGACTGTTTCCAGTACTTGGTTATCCTATATAGTGCTGCTGTAAACATAGGGGTGCATCAGTTCTTTTGAGTTGGTGTTTTGGGATTCTCAGGGTATATTCTCAACAGTGGAATCACTGAGTTAAAAGGCATTTCCACTTTAAATTTTTTGATGAAATTCCATACTGTTCTCTGAAGTGACTGTACCAGTCTGCATTCCCACCAACAGTGCACTAAGGTTCCCTTTTCTTTACATCCTCATCGACACTTCTTAATTTATTAATGATAGCCATTCTGACAGGAGTGAGGTGATATCTCATTGTGGTTTTAATTTGCATCTCTCTGATAGCTATTGATGTTGAGCATCTTTTCATATATTTATGGGCCATGTACATGTGCTTCTAAAAGGTCTATTCAGGTCCTTTGCCCATTTTTTAATTGGAATGTTGGTTTTCCTGGTGTTGAGTCATATCGGTTCTTAATATATATTAGAAATTAAACCTTTGTCTAGTGTATCATTGTCAAATATATTCACCCATACACTTGGTTCCCTTTTCATTGTGATGATGATTTCTTTAGGCATGCAGAAGCTTTTTAAATTTGATATAGTCCTATTTGCTTATTTTTTCCTAGTTACTTTACCTTAGGAGATATATAGTAAAAATATTGCTTTGTGGGACATTAAAACTTTACTGCCTATGTTTTCCACTAGGACTTTTATGGTATCACAACTTATATTTAAGTCTTTTGTCCATTTTGAGTTTATTCTAGTGTATGGTGTAAATTTGTGGTTGGGTTTCTTTCTTTCTTTTTTTTTTTAATTTACCAGTCCAGTTCTCCCAACACCATTTATTGAAGAGGCTATTTTTACTCCATTGTATGCTTGTGCTCTGTTTGTCAAATATTAATTGGCGAAGAGACATGGGTTTATTTCTGGGCTTTCTGTTCTTAGGTCTCTGTTTTAGGCTAGTACCAGACTGTTTTGATTATAATGGCCTTGTAGTATAGTTTTATATCAGTTATTGTGATCCCTCCAACTTTTTTTCTTCTTTCTCAAGATTGCTGAGGCTATTCAGAGTCTTTTTGGGTTCCATATAAGTTATTGGAGTATTTGTTTTAATCAGTGAAATATGCCATTGGTATATTAATAGAAATTGCACAGAATCTATAGATTGTTTTGGGTAGCATGGATATTTTAATGATGTTAATTCTTCCAACCCATGAACAACAGTATATGTTTTCACTTTTTTGTACCATCTTCGATTTCTTTCTTCAGTGTCCTATAGTGTTCTGAGTACTGACTTTTACCTCCTTGGATAAATTTATTCCTAGGCAGTTTATTTTTTTTGTTGTTGCCATAGTAAATGGGGTTTTTCCCCTCTAGTTTCTCTTTCTGATATTTCATCATTAGTGTACAAAAATGACATTAATTTCTGAATATTAACTTTGTATCCAGCTACTTTGCCAAATTCACTTATTAGGTCAAGTAGTTTTGTGTGTGTGTGT